TGGGGTCGCAGGAATGAGCCACTTGCTGGTGCGATAGGTAGGGAATCTGGGAATTGAGGGACTCGTGAAATTACCGCAATTCGTTCGGGGTTTTGGGTCGGCTGCGGTTAGCTTACTTGCTATACAGTGGCATGCGCCGCACCCATGAAACTTGAGGAGTCTCCAGACTGGGCAAATTCCATGGTGATTTTAAGTTGGACCTTTTCGGTTGTGGGATCAGGGGGGTCATCCCCCACTGTGATACAAGGGAATCCCCTTCTTGATATGGGTTCATCTTTGGGAGGCCCTGATTGTATCATAGAAGTGGTCATTTTCCACAGGGCTGGACCTTGTTGGCCATTGGGTTTGCATTTTTTGAATCAGCAAACAACACATTGGGCCGTAACATTGTTTTTTTTTGGGATAGATGAAGCCCGGATCCGGTGTTTTTTTCTTCCTAGGACTGTTTTTTTACTAGGGCTGGTCCCCTGGTTGGTTGGTTGGGTTGGTTGGTTGGTTGGTTTGGTTGGTTGGTTGGTTGGTTGGTTGCTTGGCTGGCCGCATCCCCGGCATCACCAGCCTCACTTGGCTTGGGCCGTCTATTGGCTCTGGTTGGGTAGCAGTTAGGAGTTGGGTTTAAGTTAGGGGGAATTTTGGCTGGCTTAGATCTTCATGAGGGTGGGTCTTGGGGTGGTTTTGGGTTGATTTAGGCGGAGCGAAGGGCTGACATCCAGGCTGCTGTTGGGCGGGTTTGGGGTTGACTTTGAGTGGGTTTGGGTTGGTTTGCAGCTGATTTGTGTTAGGTGTACTGCTGGTTGTGTTAGTTTTGGTCTCGTTTCGGATCGGTTTTGAGGCGTTGCCCCAAACCACCAAAACTTGTCCACAACTCAATTAAAATACCCTAAAGCAGCCCTAAAGCCGCTGCTAAACCAGCAGCACACCAAGCACAAATCAGCTCCAACCAACCCAAACCCACTCAAAGTCAACCCCAAGCCCGCCAAAGTAGCATGGATGTCAGCCCTTCACTTCGCCTAAATCAACCCCAAACCACCCCAAGACCCACCCTTATGAAGATCTAAGCCAGCCAAAATTCTCCCCAACTTAAACCAGCCCCCGGTAACTCCCAACTGCCCAATCAGAGCCAATAGGCAACCCCAGGTCCAAGTGATGCTGGTGATGCTGGACAGTATGTCAGGTATCCCTCAGGTGGTGGTTTGGAATGATTTGGATTTGGATTTGAACCCCTGGCGTAGAGGGTATAAGGGAAACCCCTCCGGCTCCAAACCACCAAATCTGGAATCGTTCAACTTTTCTTTTGGGCGTTTCTTGGGTGCTGCGAAATGGATTTCTCCACCATCCACATTGCACCGTTGGGTGGCAGTCAGGTTCAATGCCTCAGCCGCGATGCCGACTCAGAGGAGCTCAGACAGCTGGAGGCGGGAGGGTTTTGGATGTTTTTAGGGCCTTTGCGAGCGTATCGTCCGCGGGTTTTTCAGGGGAGGGGTTTGACTTCCCCCAAAAAAGCTTTGTTATATATATATACACATATATATATATATATATGTATATGGGTATGTCTACATACGTATGCATATATACATACATATATATATATATAGTTTATTTTTTCCCCGTGTTGCAGCCACGTAGTCGACATAGCAAAGACTCAAGTTTCTTGGTTGACCCCCAACGCCACGGCTGAGTTGAGAAGCCGCTGAAGACCAAATGATCATGGGGGCTGGGGGGGAGGGAGGGGAGGGGAGCCCCAAATAAGCCAAGCCCTGAAAAAGGCCTTATTTAGGGCTCCCTGCCCCTCCCCTCCCTCCCAGCACCCATGAAATGAGGGGAGCTAGGGAAATTGGGAGGTCTCGAGGTTTTGGGAGGGTCTGTATGAGTGTAACTTCTTTGGGGACCTTTGCAGATCAGGGGTCTTCGACGATTTAGAGGGATGGGTTGGACAAGGTCTCCTTGATACCCTGTTTAAAGTGACAAAACAGCCATGCTGTGTTGGTCAAAATTTCTTTTGAATTTCCCCTGGATGTGGTATTATGTTTACATATTTTTTTTTGTGTTTTTTTATAGGTGAGGATGTTTTTTTTCTTTTCCTTTTTTTTCATAAAAAAGAAGATTACCATCGTATTTTTAAGTAAATATTTATTGCCAAAACAAAACTGATGGACAAGATGCGTGCGAGGCAGCAGTTGGTAGGTGGTTCCTCCCACCAAAAAGAGCCGGTCAGAATGTTGAGGCTCAGGAGAGACACGCGAATTTCCACCGACACGGGAGGGGGTCGGGGGATGGGTGAGGTACCCTTTTCGAGCCGAAGCGAAAGGAGAGTGCTGTGCATGGACGAAATCCGAGACCGCACCAAATGAAACCATTGGAAACCATTGTGGGTGTTGGTATTGGGGAATCGAATCATGGTACAACAATTCGTCCATCCACACTATAGCCACCGTGGCGCTGAATCTGAGGCTGAAGTGGAAACCACGAAAGTGTCTCGTCTTTCTTTGGGGGCAACCCCCCCAAAAAATGGCAACGGAATCCCTTTGGTGTCCTTTCAAACCAACCCCAAGGGTATCAACAAAATGACACCCACATGTTGCAAGTGCACCGACTACCACCTGTTCTAGAAGAGTCCGACCAACAATGCGTGGATGCTTGCTTTGGCTTGCGTGACGCTGGTAAGAGTTGTAAGCACATTTATGACTAGAATTGTTCAAAGGGGTCACTTCCCAGACACCGAGTGCCCTCTGTTTTTTGGAGGGATTGGGCTATTTGCCTCTTGTGGCCCCCGAGAGCGAGAGAGAGAGAGAGACCCCTTTAAGGCTTGTCCAACAACTCCAGATGGCCCATTTGGGAGGAATATGGGGGACTCTCTAAAAGTTAGCCGAAAAAGCAGAGGAGCACTTGGATTCTGCCATGTAGGCTAACAAAGTTTTTCTATGTGCTTAAGACTATCTGTTACTTCCCCTTTTTGGCTTTCTAGAGGGAATCTATCACGGAAATATCTTCTCGCCATTTTTCCCAGGCGAAAAAGCTTTGGCGAAGAAAGGCACATGGCAAAGAAATCGACCTGGCGGCTCACGGCGATTTGCTTCGATGTGGTTTCCTTCTCAGCGCAAGTCTGGCTCGAGCGAGCCGAGATGTGGAAGGATGCATCACGACCATTTAGTTAGCCTCCCGGCCGAGCATCTGGTGGGGGGGGGGGGCGGGGGGTCACAGTTGGGTCCGGAGCGTTTTGAGTGGGGGGGATGGTCCTTTCCCGGGTTTGCAAAATGTTGCGTTTGGGGTCTGGAGCATGTGGAGCGAAAGAAGCCCGGTGAGGCGAGTTGTTTCTAATTCTAGGAGAAACTGACGGGACGGTTTCCACTCTTGAAGGTCCAATACGTTGAGACGATTCCGCATGTCCATGCAACATGCCCGCAACTTTTGCCTTGAACTCCCGAAGGGTATCCCCCCAGCAAATGCATCTGCCCAGAGGCCTTTTGGGGCTTTCAATGGAAGACCCGACCCCTCCGTTGGACACCCCGAAAATGTTTGGGGGCTCAAAACGCTGTTTGAGGGCCCTAAATGAACAAATGGCTTTCTGGGTTCCCGAATGGTCCCAGAAAGGTCTCTCGTAAAAATCCGTGAACCTCCACCTTGAAGGGAGCACTCGGGGATGCGCTCGGCCTGAAGTCAGGGGCTGAAGCTATGGGAGAGTGTATTTTCACCGCGCTTTCTCGAGATGTGACATTTAGGTCTTGCGGCGCGCACGCGTTTGTTGGGGGGGGGGTATCATGTATACATTCCCCTTTATCCGCTCGGGCGAAAGGCCTACCCATTCTGTCGAAAGGGATTGCCTTGACGAGTAACAAGCGACCAAATTGGACGGAAATGGCAACTTCCCCAGACTTTTCACAGGATCCAACCCCTCCTCCCCTGGTTTCTTCCAAATAGGACCTCAATCTATTCTGACTGGGAGGCAACCAGGGAGGTTGGGGGAGGGGCTGGGTTCTGGGCTGTCAAAGAAGCCTCGGTGCGGCGAAAGAAACCCACCGTGCGGGTTCCCTCAGTGGAAGTCTAGGGTCTAGGGCTTTTGGTTGAATCCCACTTTCAGTACTAAGGGAAGCCAAGTGAACAAAGCCTTGGGGCTGGGAATGATACTGTATATGAACGAATCTGTTTCGCACCACAAAATGAAACCATGGTTGAAACCACAAGGTTTGTTGGTGTTTACGTTGGGGAATCGAACCATTCAGGGGTTCTGAATGGTGCGTTGCATGGATTTCGCAACTATCCACAGTATCACCGTCAGGTGATTCTAACTCATCGCCAATGTTGACTTCCCAAACCTGGGGTTTGGCTGTGTCCACCAAGCCCGGAGCTAAGAATCCTTGAGGTTCCTTGTGTCTTCTTCACCCCAGCCAAGAAGACTCTCTTTGAACTTCATGACAACCACGAAAACATGCGCCGTTTCAACCAGCGAAAGTAGACGTAACCAGACCCCAAAAGGAATTATATGGCTGTGGTGGTCAAAACCGTTTTGGGATCCCATTTTGGTTGGCAGGTGAATTCATCACCCATTTTAGAACCTATTTTAGTGGTTGGATTGGTTGATGTTCTCTGGGGGTACGATTTGGATTTTGATCCATGGCCATATACTGATTTGGGGTTCCTTGCGGGCGGGGTCCCGGGGTTTGAGCTGAAACCCTGAAACCTCAATCGAGGTTTCAATGTGCTACCAGATGTGCAGCACCTTCAGCCCAGCGAACCTGCTGATGAGGCAATTTGGTTTGAAGGTGCTGACAAACAAATTCAAATTTCATTTGGGCCCTTATATTACCCTCTTCTGCGCGGGTTAGACGGTACCTTTTAATCACTCTTCGGAGAGATTCGTTGAAACCCTTCTAAGAGCCCCTTCCCAGCAAGATCTATGAAGCTTTTCTCCCCTTTTATTCTGTTGAGTAAAGGGGTTGCCAAGATCCCATTGGGATGATTGAGGCACATAGTGACCGGCTCAGTTGTTCAGCCACCCTCAAAATCTCCTATGTTTGGTGGATTCGGGACCCACCAAAAGGAAGCGACACCAGAAAGGGTTCCAATGATGTTTCTATCAGGGCACGTTCCCCCTAAGCTAGATATTGAACAAGCTGCCCTTATTGCTGAAGTGGGTGGACGAACTCCACTTGGGATAGATGAAACCCTGCAGCCCATCGAACGGAAACTCCTACCAACCAACTGCAGGCTTTCGTCCACCCACAGCATCTCATGAGTTGATTTTGTTTGCACGGAACGCCAATGCGATATATGGTCAACCAACAAACTCAGACATTGCTTCTATGGCGACGAACAAAGTTCACCTGTTGTTCTATAATTTGTTTATTGCACATATTCACATGTAACAAACATGTATCATCGTCATATTGCATCTATTAGATGCATTGGGTCGCACATGATTTTATAAGATGCTAGTCATGTGTTCTACTTATGAGTTTCTATTCCAACATGTGGTTGTGTTTGTTATAAACTCGCTCAACCAAGATGGAAAGGGGACTTGCAACTGCAAATGCTGTGTTTGTTTTGTTTAGGGTATTTTTTGTGGTTTTAAAGGAAAACCAAGAGGAACACCCTCATTTTTGGGGATCCCCTAAACAAGACAAGGCGAAATGGATGATTCTCGGGGTTTACGAACCGCTTGGCAAATCTTTTTTGCCTCCGTAGTCCTGGAGAAAGCAGCAGCTTAGCAGTCTCAGGCTGTTTCGGCATGGCTGGACAGGGTTGCACAATTCAGGGTCATTATTTTGACTGTTTCTGGGGTTATCAAAGTCAGAGTATGGGGCTATTTCCCTTCAACCCACCACTTAGGGGGTGACTTTGATCGTGGTAAAAATAATGGGGCCGGCAATTGGGTGATTTCTACTGCTTCGGGGATGGGTGTTGTTTGCGGGGATCTTCTGACTCAGTGAACTTTTTGCCCAGCAATTCAACAGGGCTCCTGAAAAAGATCGATCTCCATTTTGCAACCACCCATTTGAAAAACATGTGGCTTTTTCAAGACCAGAACAAAGGGAAACAACACAATGTACAAGTTGCAATGTTCAGGTGTATAATGTAAGGATCCCTGTTCAAGCTAGAGCATGATAGAACCCTAACAATGTCTTCATACCTGAGGAAAGCCCCCCCCCCCCAGTTTTGGGGAAAAAACAGTTCCCGCAGTTCCTAACCCTGAACGTTGGAGACTGAGCCACGGGAAGTTTATGGATCCTTCGGCTGTGAAGCTCCCTGAACGCTTTGGCAAGTCAGTACTTGAATATTTGCCATGCTTGGGGTTAGGGATGGTTTTACCGAGAACCATGACCATGGTCCGTAAATTCAGAGTTTTGGCTATGGCTCCAATATGAGTGGGGGGGGGGTGCTTCACACCCAGAGAATCAGAACCTGACCTTGTTTTTGTGTACCCTAAACTTGGGCGAGGAAAGAAAGATATGGGTATGAGTCAAAATTTTTGACCCACAGCCATATATCTTGTGTTGCGCACACAACCACTACGCAAGATTATTGCATTTCACCTGGATCCTTGGGTTTGAATTAGATCAACCCCAAACATCTTTGTTCCTTACCCTACAATCGATTGGTTTCAGGTTGGTTTCCCGACGTTTTCGAAGTCAACCCGGAGAATCCTGATGCGAGATGGTAGTGGAGTGTCCGGATTCGGAGCAGGAAACTCGGGATCCCCTCCTTTAAATAGGTTTCACGTGCTGGTGCCCCTAAGGTGGCTTGAGGCTGGCGTCATATTTGCTTGCATGTGCTGAAATGGATATATTTCACATTATTTCCCGTTTTGGTCTTGAAGGGAAAGGATTTTATTTCACTGCTGGACATATCTTTTTCTCATGTTTTCCCAGGGGGCAAAGAAGCAAATGGACTTTGGTGGTCAGAACACCCTTCCACTGGGGGAACTTTTCATCTCACTTGGCGAGGTTTTTTCCAGTTGGGCCACGGCCCTGGCCCAATTTTTGGGGAGGTTTAACCAAAGGACGGCCTCTCTGCTTAAAGAGGCGTTCTGCTGGCTGTGGTTGTCAAAACCGTTTGTGTGTGTGTGTCTCTTTGAGGCTATCTTCGAAAGGTTGGTGAAAAGGGAACGCACAACAAACACCATTTGTAGGGTTCCCCTAATTTGACACACACCCATATGGCTATACATTTCAAGCGGGAACCTACGAGTGGTTGGTGGTTGCCTGAATCCCCACCCAACTGATAGCTTCCAACGGGTCTGGAACCCATTTGGGTGTGTCTCAGAATAGAAGACCCCCTTTTTGGATGGTTTTGAAAGGACACCCAAAAGGAACCAGCTACCTCGAGGGGGGTCCCAGATTTTGAGAGGCGCCCAGTTAAATTCATGCCGTTTCGAACTTTGAGTTGCTGTCAACGCTGAAGCCGCGCGGTTTTGCGGGTTTTAGCCCACAGCCTAGGTGGAACCCAGTCCTGCCACGGTCTATTCCGTCAAGTCCGTCGCCCGGTCGGATTCGCCAAGTACCTCGTCCCAAGCTTCGGCAGTGGTGCGTGTTTTGGTGGTTGTGTTGTTTGTGGTTATTGAACCCTATCAAGGATCGAAAAAGAGCGGCCTTGTTTTGTTGGCATTGTTGTTTTGGAGGTTTTTGGGTTTGTTCCCCCCCCCACCCGCACCCCCTAGTTGTTATGTTGTTATTGAAAAGGGTACAGATTGCCCTGAACTGCCTTGGTTTGGTTGTTTCTTTCCAAGCTTCCAGGGAATTGTCCACAACTCTTTTGACATCGTTAGAGACGTGCTGTTCTCAATATTCTAGCTGTACCTTATTCTTTTCAGGGATCTTTCTCTTCACACAATGCGCAATCCGCTGACAACATGGGCCATTCCTGGCAAAATGGGCGGTTTCTATGGGAATCAGCAAGTGGAAAAATATCCCGAGTCTAAATCACATCCGCGTGTTTCTTTTCGGTCAGCGTGTGGCTATTGGCGGTGTTTCGCGGCTGGCAGTGGGTGTTTCGTGGTTGGTTGGTTGGTTTTGTTTGGCTTGGCTTGGCCGGGCTTGGTTTGATGTGGTTGGTTTCAAAGTTTGCCGCCATCCGGGTTTGACCACTGTTCTAGGGTTGATTCCTTGTCCATTCTTTTCAACCATCGTTCTTTTCAAAAAATGGATCTGTTTCCAACCGGTGTTTGATGGTTTCCTGAAAAGATTCGGATCCCTGGGTTCAGAATGGTTGGAGTGTCCCCTAGAACTGTGCCCTGAACGTAGCTGCCTGTTGGTTTGATAAAGAATCACATTCGCTAAAGTTGGCGACTCGGGTGCCGGATTAGGCTTTTTGTTTGTGGTGTGTGTGTGTGTGATGTGTGTGTTGTGTGTCTGTGGTTGTTGTGCGTTTGTTTGTCGTGTGTTTGTTTTTGTTTCCTTGCTAGCCAGCCAGCCAGCTTGCCTACCTGCTTGTTTGTTGGTTTGTTTGTTTCATGGTTTTTGCTTGCCTTGCCTTGCCTTGCCTTGCCTTGCCTTGCCTTGGGTTGCCTTGCCTTGCCTTGCCTTCCCTTGCCTTGCCTTGCCTTGCCTTGCCTTGCCTTGCCTTGCCTGCTTTCTTGCTTGCGTGTTTGTGTTGTGTTGATTCATTTATCAATGCCGTTGCTTCTTTCTGTTTGCCCTGTATGTTGCTTTCTTCCTCGCCTTATGTTTTTCTTTCGGTTGTGTGTTTGTTATTTCTTCCTTCCTTCCTTCCTTCCTTCCTTCCTTCCTTTCCTCCTTCCTTCCTTCCCTTCCTTCCCTTCATTCCTTCCTTCCTTCCTTCGTGTATCTTTTCTTCTCTATGTTTTTGTTTATATTTTTCTCTATTACTTTGCACGTCTTTACTCCTTACTTGTTCGTTTGTTTGTATTGTTTTGGGCCTTTTTCCTTTTCGGTCTCTCAAAGGCTTTTTTTGTTTAGTTCGTTTATTCTTCTCTTATTTTTCTTGTGATTTTTAGTTCTGTGCTTTGGTGTTTTTTCCTTGGGTCTCTGACGTGTTTGTTTCTTGCCTTTTTCCGTTTCTATGATTGGAGTACGGCGCAAGACACACTTGGTCTGAGGAGACGTTACTTGCATCCGGGACAGGCCTAAACGAAGCCTTGAAATCCATGGATCGTTATATTCCTAGGTCCGACTGCAAGGCTGGGTGTTTGACTAGATCCCAAGCTACAGTAGTGCCCTTTCCACCCTTTTTTTTGTGGGAGGGTTGTTTCCCCTACTAAAAGAATAAACAAAAGGGGTGCCCTTATTCTAACCTCTCTACTGGAGGACCTAGTTGAGCCGTCCATAAGAATTCACCAAGAATTGAAAGCACGTAAGGGATTGCAAGTCCCTAAGGCTTGGGTTCCTTGGGAGCATTTTTCCGAATCTGGGCAAAGGGATCCACTCCCATAACAACCACCCACGCTTGGAATGATCCTTTCGGTGTTTGCGCATCACCATCAAACTCCCAGGACCAAAAATAAGTTTGCACAAGAACCATCTTGCAACTTTTGGACTTCGGAAAGGCCCCCAAAACTTCAGTAAAGCCGCGTTTTGGGCGAGAAAGCAACTTCCCGGGCTAGAACGGATTGAAGGGGCTGAAGAGTTGCACTGTTCCACTTCTCAAATCATTCTCTTCTCGTCACAACTCTTTGCTTTAAGTATCCACAACCCCGTCAATTTCTCCCCCCCCCCTCGTCGCACTCGGATAGATCCTCAGTTGTTCAGTGGCTCCCTTTTCCCCCTTTATTTTCTGGTGGCTTGCCCACCAAATGGTCCTCCCAAAAAAGAGTTCCCCTTTTTTTTCCAGGGTCCATGAACAATCTGAGAAATCGGGAGGTTTTGGTCACACGACAACCAGAAGAAACCGAAAACGAAGAACCGAAGGCGTGAAGTCCTTCCTGCCGAAGACGCTGCCGACGGCGCGAGGTCCCAGGGCCGCGTCCCGGGAGTTCCAGCCCCTTGGCTTCGTTTCGGCGTCGTGACTCTCGGCGCGATGCGAGAAGCAAAACGGGAAAGATGGA